GCTGCTACACGGCCGTGGTGCTGTTGTGCTCGCTGCACCCCCCCCCCCCGGGTCTATTGCAAGCTGCAGCGGTGTGTCACGGCGACGGCCGGGAATTGTGCGCAAGTGGCTGCGCCCGTTGACCACGGCGTGCTATTGTGTACCGCCGCGACGACTGCTACCCACGGCAACCCGTGGTGTCACGGCGGGAAAGAGGCAACTGTTGCAGCTCGGAAGGACGTCAGAGAACTTGACTTCGGCGTGTGACTTCCGGCCTGGTCAAGCTCCTGTTGTGTTTGGCCGCCATTGCGGGGCCCTCAGGCGTTGAAGACTAGAAGGCCCTCTCACGGGAGTCTGAGTGTACCGTTCTATTTGAGAGTCTTACCCCTTCTCACCCTGTCCTTCTCCCTCTAAAGTCTAGTCCATTGGTCCTGAGAGGAAGGCGGTAGGCGGGATTGCAGCCCGTGACCCGCACCAAGGCCTCTGTGGGAGATTGCCCCACCGATTGCGGGAGCTCTGCCGGGACTCAGGAGGAGTCCTGGAGGCAGGGAACTGAGTGGTAATTCCCTGACTCCTTCTATTAACCCAATTATAGCCCCTATCTATACATATTTCTATGGTTTGACTGAGTGTATTGTGTGACTCCTGTATCTGATCTTGGTTTGAGTTTCATGACATAAGTCAGACTGAAATAAAGGAATGAGTGTGCAATGTTCAGCTTCAGACTTTGTTTGGTTGCCTGAAAGCAGACTGTGAACAGAAGGGGTTGCATCTGAGGGAGGGTTGGGAGAAAGGCAGTATTGTAAGCAGTCTGGTTGGGTCATTGAGGCTGGGAGGTCCCCATAAGTTTGAGGAAGCCCAACGCTTTGTTTATTCTTGGATTGCATGGAGCCTCAGACCACTCTATAAGTTTAGGTAGCCTGAAGCTCTGGAGGCTGGGATGTCCCCATAAGTTTGAGCAGTGTTCTAAGTTGAGCGGCTCAGCCTTATGCCCTTTTGAAGATTAAGTTCAGAGACATATATATAACTTGGCTATTTAAACAGTTCAGAGCGACTATAGTGGTCTAGTCATACGCCCAAAGAAGAGAGAAGTAGTTGTGCCTTCTGTTTGTGTACACCTGGCCAAGTCAGAACGCTCTATAAGTTTAGGTGTTCTGACTTTGGGCCTGGCTAAGTTGGACGCGCTCTGTAAGTTCAGGTGCCCTAACTTATGCCTTAATAAGTTGGGTATAAAGGGGGTAACTTACTGAGGAAGCATGAACTATTGTTTGCTAAAGGAGCTTGGGGTTGGTGAGAGTACTTACCTTTGTGGTTTGGCCTGCATGAGGCTGAGTGAGATTACTGCTTGATTTGGGTTTCAGGTTAACAGGTAGTTACTTTAGAGGCTCGCCACATGCTAGAGCGATAGGAGTTAGGTCAATTCCTGCATTTTCTGAGCTGATTTTATTTTACTTAGATCGATTCTTGCGTTTTCTGAGGCTCATTGTTATACTTGAACTTGTATAAATTTTGGTAAGCTACTTCCTCTACGGGAAGCGCTGCCGAAATTTTTTACAGATTCAAGGAGTTCGACAAGTTTTGACTTGTCAAAGTTCAACTTGCCTTTTTTGTATATCTAACTTAGTAAAAATTTGGAAAGTCTCCTTTTCTAAGGGGAGTGATGCCCAAATTTTTGCTAATTCAGGGAGTTAGAAAAAACTGGACTTTGAGAAGTCAAAGTTAGTCTTAAGCTCTAAACTTAGCTTTGTATAAATTTTGGGAAAACACTTTTACAGGGGGAGTGCTGCCAAAATTTTTGCAAAACTAAGGAGTTAGTCTGAATTTGTCTAAGTTGAACTATAAGTTGGGGGTTGAGTTCAAATCTGACTTGGTATAAATCTGGGAAATCCCCAATTCCAAAGGGAATGTTGCCCAAATTTCTACTAATCCACCGATGGGAGGTGACAGCTCCCGTAAGGTGGAGGTAAGTTGTGCCTCGTGTATGCCCTATCCTGTTGTAGGGGCTCGCGAGAGGTATGGCTGGCGCACTCGGCCGGAGCGGCCTAAGGAAGCTCCATCTGTGTATTCGGGACGAGGTTGGTCCAACTCCTGCGTGACGCGGCCGAGAGGGTCCCGCGCTGCTACGTGCGGTGCCGGACCGATGTGCTCAACAACGTGTAGACTGCGCGAACTGGGTTGCGCTTATATGTGTTCCCACAGGATGATTGCTTCGTTGCAGTCTTGCAGACACAAAATGGTCATTGGACACATCCACTCCGTCACTATTCAACCCTCTCATGCATGGGTGTTTACGAATCGATGCGCGTAAACCTGTGCAAGTGTGCAGATTAGATCGCGCTTACACGCATCCCCGCGCGGTATTCGCTTGTCCCTGGACAAACAACTACCCAATCATCTAATCACCCTGTGATCCATATGCAATCATTTCGTAATATGCAAAGTGCTACCACACAATTGCCGCAACAACATCAGATCCAAAAAGGACAAACATCAACAGTGAGAATCATGCGAATTTTTCTACCATGCTCATGAGTGTATAAAAAACGACAAGCAAAAGCAAGGATCGGGTACAAGGCAAGCAAAAAACATGACGTCCATTCATCCATTCAGTCAATCATGGCACACAATATCCGAGATCGAAATTGCAAAAACGAGTGTGGGCGAAAGGAAACCAAGCCAAGTTTCCGAAAACAAAATTCCAACAACAAAAACAGGCGAATCGCCCTGAACCGATATCAAAACTTATATACAAAAGCAAGGAGGGAGGAAAAACAAAAGAAACAACAAATCCACGTCCATCGACCTCAGCTCCCTCTTCGTCTCCCTCCCTCTTCGATGCGGACAATTCGTCGTCGCGCAACAACCCACGAAGTCGTCACCCCGCTTAGTCCTCCTGCACCCGTCAGGTTCGCCCGCGCCCACAGTCCCTCATGGCCCGCGTCAACCCCACGCATTCGGCACCATCTCGTCGGGTCGCCCGACTCCCACTTCAACTCACCTCTTACTTCGCTCGTGAGCCGACCCTCACTGATCGTGCTACCCCGATCTTCCAACAGTTGGTTAAGAGAGCTATCTAATTGCGCAACTGTAATTTATAGCGTGCATGCATGCGCGAAGAACACGGATTTGCAAGGACTTAGAAGGAGATCAGGGGAGGGAGCGCCTACGCTCTGCATGGTCGGGCCGCGGCGTGGGGGACATCGCCTCTCTCCACATATTGATCCGATCATGCAGCCCGTGGGCTGGTTAGACACAGGAAGAGAAAGCGAGAGCGGGAAAGACGAAGCACAAGAAGAAAGGATACAGTTACAATGGCGCCCATCCAAAACTACAGTTACACTCTCGATTAAGGGCTCCGACTTATCAGAGTTCCGTTGCAGCCGCACGGAGAAGCGCATAGACAAAAAGTGCCGCGCGGCAATAGAAAATCCTAATTGCAAAATTCCTAAATTCCTATCTAATGCGAAAAAGCAAAAAGCATACACTCCGAAAAGAAAGTCCGAAATTCCGAGAGCCATGAGGGTTCGGCAAGATCTGAGAAAGAATTCAAAAAGAAAGTTCAAAATCGAAGCAAAATTCCCGCGAGGTGTCCGCGCCCAAAAGTCCAAAACCGAAACAAAAGAAGCGACGTCAACATTTATTATTCGCGCGCACGATGGCGCGCCACTCACACAGCCAATCAACCAATCGATCATCCCGGGAAACACTTGGGCCTGAACCCAGCCATCCGAAGAGAAACAACGCAAAAAGACAAAAAATCGAGGACACAAATGCAATTTCCCAACCATCCCGATCTCCTGTAGTTGGCCCATCCTTCCCAGCTTAGGACCCCTCGTCGCTACCGCTTAGAAAATCGCATAGTGCGGAAATTGGTTCGTCACATATGTGACGCCCAAGGGGTTCCAATCTTAAGCAAGCTTCTGCTTGCTTGTTGACACGTGTCGATTTCTCTAATCGATCGATACGTGGAGCTTTTTCTTTTATGCCACTTACCGTTTGAATGAGTGTGGACGTCGTCCAGTGTTGCAAGCTCTAACTACTAATTCCTCAAGAAGGACCATTAACAATCTAAGGAGTGGATCACCCGTGTCGTCACCGTGACACATACCAATTAATCATGCATCAGAGAAGAAAAAAAAAAAAAAAAAAAAAAA